GCGATCGTTGTCGAGAGCGTTGTCACAACGACGATATTCACCGGACGCCGCGACGGCCGGCCGTTATACACATCCAGAACTGAATAAAGCACTCGGACATTCGATACAGAGCCCCTAAAGCTCGAAACAATACACTTTGTATACTTCTCACAACACAATAGCTGCGTGGCCTCATTAAAACGGCATAAAATTAACACATCGATCATTGTAATTATTATCTATTATTTAACGACGAATCTCCTCGAATTGCAATTATATTATTAGTAGCTTTCGAGTGACACCGACCGTGTATGTATATTGTTAATTTGCCGTAATACTGTAATACATAAAACGAGCGCGATGTTAAATTTAATTTTTAAGTTCTAATTACGCATGCGAGAGAATGCTATATTCGAACATTTTACTAACAGGATATTAATGATTTCCTATAAAGTTTACGTCTTATTGGTTAACCAGAATTATAAATGATTTTATGCAATGAAAATATACGTGAAAATGAATTTCAAGCATTGCTCAATATGTGACGGATACAATGAAAAATTTCAAAATTCATATCTCTAGCTGTCAGTTAGCGTAAATATTTACCCGATATGGAAATTCTGCAGCTTATACATACCAAATACCATGTCAATGTTCCAATCGGGAAAATTTCAAAGAACAATTTTATACCCTTTTAATTAAATTCAGAAACATAGAAAAATACGAAAAGTTTGCAACAAATTCGATATATCTTATCAAAAAGAAAACACGTAAAAAATCATTTTTATCAAGATTCAATGTTTTGGTCAAAAACTTCTCAACCACATTATGCGATGTTTGTGTAATGTAACATTTCGAGGTTCATCTTTATGTTATCACCGCTTATCGACTTATTCGTCATCGACTTTAACATTCCCTTATCGATCGTTACGATGATCGGATAACACGACCGCCATACGATGTATCTCTTATTGATGTCTCATGATACTCGCGAGAACGTGTGGCTTGCGCAACGTGCAAGAAACAAAGTGTGAAAGAAGTACAAGCCATTGCATTTCAATGAAAGCTTACTTACTTCGCCAGCGTTGTTGGCGTGCTGGACGCGCGCTTCCGGGTTTAGAACACGTTGATTTGTTTTTCTCGACTTCGCCAAGGTAGACGTTAAGTGTACTCAACGTCTTATCGTGCGCCGCGGATTTCGGTGCCATATTTCATGCGGCAGGCAACTTTTAGCGTTCTTCCCTCGTATTTACTCGACCGGTTCGCGAGAGGCACAATAGAGAAGATATATCCGGAGATTTATGAAGTCGGTATACTTCATTGAGATACACGAAATAAATCGGAGCGCGCACGCTGAATTCGGCGAGAGAGAGAGAGAGAGAGAGAGAGAGGGAGAAAGCGGACGAAAATAATTGGTTACGTCTCGGAGATTTATACCGAAACAATCGGAATCCACTTCTCGATATTACATTTCTCGTAACCCGATTCGAAATTTTGCTTCCACATTAATCTTGCAAATTTTGCTGGGATTGAAGGACCAATGGGGAATCTCGAGATATAACTGTATGTACTATTATCCTGCTTTGATGTTAAAAATGTTTACTTGCTACCGTTTTATTCAATATTGAGCTTTAGAAAAGGACCTGCTAAAAGCTTTTACAATGGCCTGAGATTCTGTGCTGCATAAACACTTTTCAAAAAATGGTGTTATTGAATATTTCATTTATCTCAATATTCCCCCCTATTCTGCATTTAATACTTGCTTTTAATTTCAATATGTAATTAATTACATAACTCATGCAACTGCGGACAGAGGCAGCAAATAATCTTCCTCCGTGTAACGATAAGGATATTATGAAAGAAAAAAATTGGTTTTATTTACCCATTTATCTATTAATCTGTCGGATTATTTAATATCTGCTTATTGCGATACTCTATTTGCAATTGAATCCTCTATCATTTACCTATATTAATTATTTAATATTTGCTTATCGCACATAATCTATTTGCGGTTGAATAAGTTACATAATTGATAAATTGCTTATTGAAATTACAAATTAAAGATTAATTGCAGATGGAATATTACGATACTCGTGTATTAAATAATTCTGAAATAATCCCTTCTTTAAACCTCTCAGCGTGGAGAAAAATAGCAGTGAATAATCATTAGTAGTATCAAAAAAGACAATATACCGAGGTTTTCTATTGGATTTCCAAATTCGATGAAATTTACAGAATTAATGTAGAATTAAAATCAACTCCGTATGTTTATAAATTAATTACACAGATTGTAATCCTAATTTTGTGATTTTAATTTATTTTCCCGGAAGTTCACTGAGCAAGAGTTACAGTTCACCTATTTGCTTAACAAAAGTATCGAAGCATCAATAATTTGCAAGATACAAGCGATCGAAAAAGCGGGGCTTTTCGCAAACTTCGAACGTTCAAACAAATGACAAAGTTTTCTCCGATCAAATTCAAGTCGACTTTACTTTAACGGAAGTTTAATTCGGACCTTAATTAAAAAGATACGTTACGTTAAAAATTTAAAAATCGCCATGAAAAACAACGTTCTCTCTTGACATTTCCCTCGACATTTTCGACAAAGAAAATTGATCTCCGAATTGTGCTCAGAGAAGCTCGAGGTAAAATTAAGGTCGGACGTGTGTGTATTCGATCGATCAGTTAATGTTAAATATTTATCACCTGCCTAATAATTCGGTCATTCAATCCATTTCTGAACGCAAGCTTAATTCGGCGGACTTCGCGGCGCATAAATTGCGTCAAAATCACCCAAGTCCGCCCTGGTACGACCGGTAAATAATCGTTGCCTGCGTCAACGTTCAAAAGTGCCGCGCTAAGCAAAGCAGCACGACTGCAGCGTGGGGAGTAAAGGCTCGCTACCGAAAAATAAACAGCGCTACCAGTGAGCCAGGGTAACCAGACGACGCGCAAAGGAGAGAACGTTCAAAAACGCGAAGCGGAGAGCGCTCCGTCCACACACCCTCTCGTGCTATCCGCGCGCACCCTCGTCGTACCCCCAGGGGCGGACGTGCCGCTCTCGCCACGAGAGATAAAAGCTAGCTGCTGCGTTCTCCGGTGGATGGATATTAAAAACAGGAATGGAGCGAGAGACCGCGCGAAGGTTCATTTGGGGACGGGGCTTCGACCTTTCGAACGACGCTGAAGAGCGTCACGCACGCGTCAACCGGCGACGCGATTGTTTCTCGTCTCACGGCGAACGTGCGCATCTCTGGTCGCGCGCGCCGACAGGCGCGGCCGACGCGCCCGAAACGAGTGACACGTCTGGCGGAGTGAAGGGAGGGGGTGGAGGGTAAAGAGAGGAAAAAAGAAAGACGAAAAAAGGGGGAAAAAATAGCGAGCGAAATGCGAATTTTTAGGACGAATGCATATTCATGTCACGGCGATGCGACCGCGGCCGGGAATCCAAGTGGCGCGTATTAATATGCATAAATCCTGCCATTACCGGCAGCTCAGGCAACTCGGGACGTCTCTTCCCGCGATTTATCCGCGGGTCGACCGACTTGCCGGGAATTCTTGGGAAGGACGGCACCTGTACTCCCGGTGCGCCTACGAATAGCGGCCGTCTCTTTAGGAAGACGAGAGTGAGGCGAGGCGCGGAGGAAGAAGCAACGAAGAGAGGAACGAATCTTGCTCATTTTTATATGAGTATTCTGGGCCAATTGTTAGTGACAAGATTTGGATAAAATAATGGATTATTGTTACAAGATCCAAGTGGTCTATTCATACAATCCTTGTAGTCGATGCAGGCGACCGCGAAAAGAAGCAGCGCGGCATAAGCGCTGCTAGAGGAAATATTTCTCGAAAGAATATATGGCATATCTTTCATGGAGAGCAGTCATCATTGAAAGTAAGAGTCGTCAGTGAGAACTTGCGGAGAACAAGGTCAAGAAAGCCCATAATTCTTCGTCCCTGGTGTGTCTGGAAGCGGATGTATTTCGTCGAGTCAGCTATGCGTACATTTCTTTGTCCCTTTTCTTGTGTAATACGAATAATACACCCCCATCTCCTTTCTCTTTCTCCCAAGTTAATGTATACGCATCACGCACAAAAGTATCCAGGCGTATTTATGAGATCGTGGTCATCAGGGGCGGATCGAGTGTGAAACATAAAACGCGAATTTTTGGTGGAAAACAGAATTTTTGGCGGGGAACAGAAAAAAACTTGCCCCTCCGGTGCTGTGCCGGTTGGTGGAAAAATTTTTCTCTCAAAAGTTATCGCCCTCTAAACGTACCTGGCACATTCCTAAAAAATTTCGACAGTCGGAATTTTGCGAGAATTTAATCATTCCTGCAAAATTGAAAGGCTTTATGCAAGATAGAATCACGTTTCCCAAAAAGTTCACATCTCGTTTTTTTCAGGGCCGCGCATAAAAATGCGTTATATCCGGAAAATCCGCAGTTTTTTATAATTTCCGGGCGAAAACGAAATCCCGGTCGTATTGTGAAAATAAAAAGATCGCGCGCGAATACATAAATAACGCGATCGATTTGGCCGTCAAACGTCGACTAATATTTTAATCAAATCGATCGCGCGAATTTGGGAACGGACGTATCAATGTCATAGGGAATCGGTCGTTCGACATCTGTCAGTTAAATAAAAGTGTATCTTAAAACCGTTTTAATCGACCATATTTCTTTTTCTCCTTCAAACATCGCTCCAACATTTTTCACTTGCCATTTAAAATTCTCCTACCGATGATATAATGCGATTTATGATTCACATCTCGCGATGTATTAAGCGCGGTCGCAAAGTGGTCAGTGCGTGCGCGAGAGAGATTATATCGATTATATATTCATTAAAATATAAATAAACAAGGGTGTGCGGAGCGTGAAAAAGTGGGGAGAGGGGAGAAACGAGATAAACGGCATTAAATCTCCAGGAGATACCTCGAGGAACAGTGCGGCTTTAATTTTTCACGTTAATAGGAAATCCGACTTCAAAGGATTAAACGTCGAAGAAGATTGCGAGGTACTCACCAAGCACGACCAGCTTCACCGGTCTGCCGAAGAGGATTTTCCCCCGGTCGTCTTCTAACCTGCAGCCCCACACACCGTCATCCTCTAATCTGACGTTGTCTATGTGTAACGCCGCGGTCGTGGAGTCGCCGATATACCTGTGCCCGGTTCCGCTCATTTCCGTTCTCGTGTCTATCGTGATCATATCTACCGGACTTCCCTCGTGCAGCCACGTCGCCGGTCGTATTCTGTAACTTCTGACAAGGCGCAACGTCTGCATTATTAGTTCACTTAACGAACTTCGTCACGCCCGATCTTCGAGCGACGAAGCATCTTGTACTATTCAGCGCTATTTACCGTGGAAACCTTCGCAAGTGTCCCTCACCGATTTTCATGGGCTTCGGTTTACGTGGAATCCTTTAGATATAAGTTGAGAATCGTTATTGAAATCATCGGTTTCATTGGCAAAATCGTTCTCATAACTTCGATGATATTCGCGGGAAATTCAATAACCCGTTATTTTCCAAGCGTTATTTCAACCCCTGAAGGTTGAGATAAGCACTTAAAAAAAAACATGGTTCGATCATTTTTTGTTGTTCTACATATAATCCAAAACCCATCAAATTTAGTGAGAGAGATTTCTGACGGTTCCTTTGTTAACGTGAGTTTGTTACGTGACGGGAATAATATTACTGTAGCTTACTCGATACGTTATTACTATTTACTGCTACTATTCTTTTTTATGAAGAGACATTATATGAGCATATAAGGAAAAGATAAGATATCTTAGAGATAAAAAAAAGATAGAAAATATATATCTTCTTTTCAAGGATCGAAAACAAAAGAGACAGGTTACCCGAATAGAAAACTTTTCTAGGAAAATAGCTGATCACATGTCAGAATGTCAACTTTTACCGCTTAGAATTTAGAGTAGACAGTATTTATCAAACAATTGAGTAAGAAAACCATGTCGGGATGCAACTGATGCTGTATTTATACTGATACTTCCGATAGTAAAACTGATAGTAAATATTTTTACTGAAAATTACACACGATGAACATACTTGATATACTTCATACGGTTCTTGCGTCAAGGTTTGCATGTTTTAACCGACGATTCCTATTCCCCTCGCGATAGCTACAAGTCGATTGAGTTTTGCGCACACAGTGCACTCACCTCGCTCCTGGCAGCAATAATCTCGAGTAATTCCCTTCCAGTTCGCAAGGTAAGATGACCTTGCTGTGAGGTTTCACCACGAGCTCCAGAGGCGGATTGGACGACGTAGCCGCCGTATCCAAGGGTAACGGAACATTGGTCGTGGTGGAAGAGCTGGTAGACCATGACTCTTCTTCAGGGGCCAAAAGGGCCGCGGGCTGCGCCACTTCGTCGGGCAGTGGTATCAACGTCGAGCCGGATGTCGTTGTGCTCGTTGTGCTGGTGGTGGTCCTCCTGGAACGCCGGTTACCCTCTTGCCTACCCCGTAGCGCAAAAACACCGGCCTCGTTCACAGAACCTGCAACAGCGACACGGTATAATGACACCGGCCTCTCTGACATATTAGCCGTTAAACGAAGTTACCGTGATTCCGTTTTTCGCCAAGTGCCTTACACTTTTTCCAGCGCATGCACGCGCGCACGAGATCTTATATCGTTGCTTTTCCCTTTTTGTCGCCTTCTCGGAATTCTTAACGTGCCCTAGTTTTGTTTTTTTAATATTTCCGGGGAAACTGTCGCGTGACTCCTCGCGAGAAAGCGTTTTAACTACAAGTTCAGCCATTATCGTTATCGTTATTTATCGCATATTATACTATAACGCTGCGCGCCGGACCACGTTTCATTAACTACCGTGCTGGGCGGATTAATTAAGATGTAATGTAATTATATAGCAAGCGGTATATATAATGAAGCAGTTATTGCACAAAATCTTCATCGGCCACAATTCGCCAGTTTTTTTCTAAAATGTAAATTTTCTCGAGCCAAAATTTTGACCCTGTATTAAAGTTTTAATTCTACAGCACAAAAGGAGCTGAGATAACGAAAAATAGGTTCTTTCTCTCAATTCTGTCCTAATAATATAATTTACTCTTATTTTGGCCATAATGATGTGTTAGATTTTCGTCTTCGCTGTTTTTGGCGTCAAAATAGGTTGCTTTACAGTAACATAATAATTAAATCTTTAGAATCAAAAATTCAAGATTGAAGCTAACAAGTGTAGCACTGCCAAATTAGGTTTTTACTAGTCCATAGTAAGTAGGCGCAAATTATTTTAAAGAGTCAATGAAGCATTAACATTTCGACTCAGGATCTCAGGAATTCTCTCTCTCTCTCTCTCTCTCCTTTCCACTCTTCCCTACTCACAACCCGGACAAAGAGACGCAGATGTGCGTCCAAATTAACAGAACGTATTGTCTTCGGTGCCGTGTGCACTCCCGGCCGAAGTAGAGTGCGGAGCCCAGAGAAGGGAAGCGCGTTACCGTCCGCCCGAATTCAAAGGACGGCTAAATTTTCCGGCCGCCCTTTACGGGACCGAACACAACAGACAAAATTAGTCGTCCGTTTCTCCTCGCGCCCTGCCGCGCGCGCTTTATCACGAAGTAAATATTCTGAAGGCTGGAGCTTGATCGAGTTAGCGCCGCCCCGGAATTCGATAAAGCCGCGACAAGAACGTCGTTGCGAAGGGCACTTTCCGAGAGAGGCGGCAGCCGTTCCGCACGCTCGGTCGCTCGCACCTAAAACTGCCTATCGAGCTTGGTCGACCGAGACTTCACGAGGAAAACTAATTATGGTCCCGATGAGCCGCAAATAGCTGCAACTACCTAACACAACTAAGAGCTCTTCCCAGGCAGGAGCCGCCTTCTCATCCTGCAGCCGCGAGTTCCGCAATCCCTCTGTAGCAAGCGGCAGTTGAGGGTGACCAACTTGTTTGCATGCCACGAGGCGCTTCTAGGCTGTTTCATTAACGTCGGCTCTCCCATAGCCCAGCGACTGAAACGTAAATTTCTCATTCTTTCGAACCTTTGTGCCGACGACGTCGCTCCTCGCGTTAACCTCCGCGAGGCCTTCTTGCCTCCGTTTACGCGCTGTTTAATGAGCCCCGTTACAACAAACGTGGAAATGGCATCTCGTTTCCAATCCGTTCGTTTCTTTCCTTATCTTAGCTCTCATTGTGTTGTAAAATTAAAACATATGGCTAAAATCGGTCGAATCGGGCCGTGCGGTCAAAAGGCGAAAACGATTGATGGCCGGAGAAGATCGGACGTTCGTAGTTACTGAGGATGAACGCGGGATTCGACACTAGGCCGCAAAGGAAAATGTATCGACCTATAGTCACGTGGCAATATCATGGCGCCGGCCAATAGCGGGTGCCCTCTGTTCATCAACGTTCCCAATAGTATACCCGACTAGTTATACACCGCTATCGAGTGGATGTTGTTCGACGTTGATGCATGCATTATTCAGGCGGTGTATCCATTCATTATTCATGTCATGATCAATGGATGTCAACAGACCGCGATCTGTATCTGAGCACGTCGCTGTGGCAGAAAGTGAAAGCGGGCGCTAAGCGAAGTACGTTGACGGGCTCAAAGGAACGTAGCGAGTAACGTGGTGTAACGAATTTCTGGCACCATGTAGTCGACGACGCGATGTGATGAACCTTTGATTATAACAGAACCGACCGTGCTCGCGTGCTTAAAGAACTCGTTATCGCGTTGTGACCGTGCTTTCGAGAGAAATTGCACGCGGCTTTTCGCAAACTCCCGCTCGATATCGATACAACGAGTCGAGTCTTACGATATAGTACATTTTATAACTTAATAGATTTTATAACCTAATAGATTCGACGATACCTGAACGATCTAGTAATTAATTATTACTTTATCATTAGACACGCGAAGAGGCTTCTTGATTCGCGTCGATTCTTTTCCACGTAGGCGCGCGATTCACACCAATGCAAGGTGGTAAGACGATTGAGAGAATTCGTCACCTCATGTTACTGCATAAACTCCTTTCCCTTCGCGCGTAGAACTCGCTTCGCTGGGAGGGAATGGGGGACTCTCGGCAAATTTCCGCCCACATCACCGTATCGCCGTTACCCCCTGTCGTGCATCGCGCATCAAAGGTGAAATACGGGAGTTCGCATGGGAATTCCGATAATTTGGAAAGAGGAGTAGGTAAACTCCCAGAGAGAGAGAGAGAGAGAGGGAGAGAGCACGCACGGCACCGCCTTGAATCCCCGAAGCGCTAGATTTGTCGAACGTTCCGGAAAAGACCAGCTCTCTCGCAACTTCGTCTCGCGGAATACTCGCGCCGTATGAGCCAAGTTTCGCCAAGTTGTGCCTCCTCCCCAGTTGTTATCTATTTTACGTTATCACCGCTAATTTTACTCTCAGTTCGGCCCGGTCGAGACCGGAATTTTAAATGGGCTTCTCCCTCAAGGAATACTTTGGGAAAGTGCGCTCTCGAACGAGCAACGTTATGAACCTATGAAGAGCGTGTGTATAGGTTTTCGGTTTCTGCACTACGTAATAACACGGTGCGCAACGAGACGATTTAAAAATGCGAAGTATACGTATATCTACTGAATTATATAAATATATTAAGAAATAAGAAATATTTATTCGGTGGCTATTAATAACATATTTACTTGAATCTCTCTCTAAATTATTTTATCTAAATAAAATAAACGATTGTTTTTATACAAAGCTATAGATTTAAGAACATGTATATTTTTTTTCATTTCAAAAAATGTCTTCTCAATGTAAAAATATATGTATTGGTATGAATAATTATTAGTACCCACCGGACAAATACATTTTATCTTACATTTTCTTTCTCAGCGAATATAGATATATATCTAGATACACTGAATTATATTTACTATGCAGACACGCATACCGTATTTTACAATCACACCGCAGGCACGTAATGCGATAGCTCCCGCCCTTCATAATACAGGCGCGTCCAATTTTCGCTGATTTTCATCGCAAAAAATACAATTGATAAAAAGAGAAAATGATTGATCACGAGTTAATCTAGCGGATAACGTAAACTCGCGCAATTTCTGTAATCAGGTCAGCGGGAAATATCGCATCACGCGTCTCGCGTATATTATCGGAATGAAAGCGGAACGAAAATTAATCCACACGCGATCAAAACGCGTAATCGGAGCGCACAACAAACGTGAGGAAAAAAAAAACAAGGATGGAAAAATACACGACGCGCCGGCGAACGAGGGAGGGAAGCGCGGGATATCGCGTTACGTAATATTTTATTATACCGTATATTTTATTACGCGCATTCGCCACGTCGCACTACACTTCATGTTTACCAGATTATAGCTCTCTCCGTTGCCTCCCCCTCCTTCTCTCGCTCTCTCTGTTTCCCGCGTTGCCCAGGGACCGTCGGTCCCAGAACGTATCAGCGAGACCCGCCTCACATCCGGCACATTCGAATCCGAGGGGCGAGCAGTGTCCGCCGTTGATGAAAAGTTTTGAGAGTTCTCGGAGGACTTTGCATGTTGACGACAAGCGGAGGGCGGCCTCCGTTGGCAGGGGCCAAAGCACGAACGCCAAGGATAGTGGCGGCGAGAGAGGAGAAAAGGATATACGGATATATATATATACATACACACACACACACACACATACATATATATATATGTATGTATATATGTTGTGTATATACATACCTAACCCTCCTGCCTCGGTGGATGCCGAGGTGACCTTGCCCTGTGTATACAAAGCGACGGAGATCAGAGGCGTCTCCAGAGCACGTAGGGAGACCAAGCGAAAAGCAGGATGGGACAGGCGAAGCGGAAGGGAAATAGAGCACGGAGAAAGAGAAAGAGTGAAAGAGAGAAGGGTGCAGAGGGGGAGCGGGAGCGAGTAGAAGGATTCGGTATCACGGGTGTGTATCGCCGGGAGAATCTATCTTTCGTGTAGAATTCGCGGCACGATCGTCTCTGACGGCGACGGGAGTGATTCGCGGCCAAGGCGGCCCCCTCCTCCTCTACACACCATCCCCCCCCCGTCTTATATCTTTCTCCGTCTTACCGTTTCTCCCCTTTCTCTTTCTCAGTATCCTCAGTCTTCGCCGATTCTCACCGATTCTCGTCCTCCGCCGTCTGCGATGTCGTCCCGCGCTAAATTCTCGCTAATACTCCGCCGGCGTGGCGGCAGTTATGAGCCGGTTGTCGCTCCGACGCGCGCGCGGTAATTCGACAGCCGCAATGCCCACGTTAATTCGGATCGACAAGAGCGTCTTCGGATTAGCCTGGACGCGGGCGCAACACGCTAACTGTTCGCCGGCGTCTCCTCCGACCCCGGTGTGATCGCGTGATCTCCGAGAGACGACGCTCGTTGCCATTCATACCGGATTCGACGGCGGAATTTTTCGCTCACACATCGCGCCGCGACTGCCAGTCGGCCATTTTGGTGACGTAGTGGACGAAACGGACGCGTAACGGTGAAAGGCGCCTCTAAGCGGCGATTTTCCGAACTAAAATGATATATCA